ATTGGAACCAGGATTGCAGTTGCTGCAGCTCTAAAGCAAGTATGTTATCTCCTGTACTAAGTTACATTTCCTGATGACAAAGATGCTCACATGGGTCATTTTTATATCCTGTGAAATATCTGCACAAAATTTTATACTTTAGGAAAAATAAAGCAAACAAATTTTAAAAAAATGCTATTTTGGGACCAGGAAATAGAAGAGTAGTTGGTTGGGACATATGTCTGTATGCATCTGATTTAGGTTTGAACTCGGGCACCACATGGTTCTCTAATATTGTGGTATAGTCCCTGAGGTTCCTTCCATGCTAGCAGCATCACAGAGTGTGGCTGGACACCCCTCAAGCCAATGTGGTCTGAGTAATCTCTGGTACCCCATGGTACAAGCAGCATCAGATCCTTGGGTCCTTGCACTGAATTACTGGTCCAACAGTAATTACAAAGGGGTTCAAATTCTGGACCTTCATATGGGAAAAGGTTTTGTTAATTTTGATGAAATCCAAATTGTAAAAAAATTTCCTTTGACTTTTGTGGGTTTTGTATCATATCTACAAAATGTTTCTCTGGGGCTATAGAGATAGTACATGGGTTAGGGCACTTGCTTTACACACACAGCTAACCATACTTCAATCCTGGGTATCACATATGGTCTCCTGAGCACTACAAGGAATAAGCCTTGAGCACTTTTATGTGTGCTTCACCCACACACAAAAAAATTCTCATCTAAGGTCACTAAGACATTCTTACTTTCTTCTTAATGTTAAAAATCTTGGTTTTTATTTTTAGATGCATAATCTTCCCTTTATTCATTTGTATCACTTGTCATCCGTTAATCTTTGATTTGCTCAAGTGGGAGCCAGTTAACATCTCCATTCATCCATGGCATGTGCTAGTGTAACCCAATGGCATCTGCTCGCTCCAGGAACATGAACAGCCTCAAACTGTTTAGTTCAGGGTTTTGACGAAGTCTGACAATCTCGTAGGTGGGTGACCACACGTCCATTTGACATCCCGTGGAATCCAGGCAGTAACAGCTCTAGTCTAACAGTCGTCTCTAAATCACATTACGTGTCTGGCCCATCTGATTTTCAATGCCTTGGCAAACGAGACAGTGTTCCTGATCTTCGATCGTCAATGAAGGTCAGAACTCCGAATTCTTTCTCTCACGTTAGTGACATGTAATATCCTACATATAGGTCTTTCGATTCCTCTTTGGGATGCCCAAATAGCATTCTCATCCTGTTTTCATAGGGCTCAGGTCTCTGTTAGTGCAGGAAGAATGGTAGAGTCGAAAAGATGAGCCTGTAGCTAGAGGTTCTTCATCGTCTTCACAACTTCTTTGCCGTTCTTGATGGCATTCCTTGCTGCTCTCTTCCTCCTGTGCAGTTCTGGTGCCAAGTTGTTCATCATGTTGAGTTCTTGACCCAGGTACACATAGATGCTGCATTCGAAGATGTTTGTTCTGTTGAGAGCAAATGGGGCATCAGGGACTAGTTCAATTTTCATTAACACAGTCTTGGTGAGATTCTGCTGCAGTCCAACCTTTCCACACTCACGGTCGAAGTCGGCCAGTGTTTGTGCCGACTAATATTTGGTGTTATTAGAACGATGTCATCAGCGAAGCTGAGGTGGTGTAGTTGCTGGTCGTCTCTCTTCACTCCCATTCCTTCCCATTCCAGTCATCACATGACATTCTCAAGGGTGGCACTGAAGAATTTCAGTGAAATGGTATCACCCCTCTGAAACCCTCTCTTGACATGGATGATCACTTCCTTGTAGAATGGTGAGACCCTGGTGGTGAATCTGTCATACAGCTTGCAGAGAATCCTGATGTATTGAGTTTGAATGCCCCATTTGGCTAGGGCTTCAATGACTGCTTCAGTCTCAACAGAATCAAAGGCCTTCTTTAAATTGATGAACATTAGATAGAGTATATCTTGAACTCCTGAGAAACCTCAATGAGCTTTGGTACCGTGTGGATATGGTCGATTATGCTGAATCCTTTTCGGAACCAGGCTTGTTTGCATGGATGCCCTTCATCTAGTGTTCTGCCTATTCTATTCAGGATGACTCGAGTGAACAACTTGTAGGCAATGGAAAACAGGCAGATGGGGCAATAGCTGCCACTTCGTGGATGTCTCCCATCTTGAACAACAAAACAGTCCTGCTAGGTTTCCATTGGGACGGAACCTTGCATTCAGACAGGTAGTGTATGAAGAGCCGAGCCAGTGTATTGACGAGTACTGGTGGCAGATTCTTCAGTTGTTTGGTCTGATCTTGTCTGAACTGGGTGCTGTACGCTTCTTTACTGATGAAATGGCGTGTGAGATTTCGGAAGGTAGAATGTTGAGAACGACATATCCATTCTGTGGAATTTAGTATATGGGCAGGTGGACGTGACTATTAAAAGAGATCTGTGTAGAAGTGATGGATAATATTCTCCATTGCCTTTCTGGAAGATGTTAGAGATCCATCAGGACATCGGAGGGCAGTCATCTTGGTCTTGTAGTTGGCAAAGAACAGGCGAGCATTCCGAATACTTTTCCTGGTTTCTACTGCATTGGCCAACACTGCTGCTCTTCTCTCTTTGAGGTCTTCCTTTATTGCTTCCCTGCACAACTTTGCGAGCTTGAACATTAGCTTGTGATTGCCTGAGGCTTGTGCCAAACCATGTTGGTGAATGAGCTCGAGAGTTTCCGAAGACATATGTCTGTTCGTGACTTTCCCACTCTTGGCATTCTTCGAGCAGTCATGGAGGTGCTAAACCAGTCAATTGTATTCCTCATCGATATTGTGAATGATGGCGTCTTCCCACATTGCTGCAATAGTGCCAAAGAGCTACCAGTTGGTGATCATTCTGGGAGTTCTCTTCTTAAACTTTGCAGTCCTTTCTCCCTGCTCCGGGAAGTAGAATTTTTCATGAAGGAAATGCTGGTCCGATCCTTTTTGGAATTTTGGGACAACAACGATATTGGTCAGGAAAAACCGTCAATTGAATATGATGTGGTCAATTTCATTGTGAAACTTTCCACCAGGAGACTCCCATGTCCAATGTCTAGGTTTAGCCTTCTGGAACCGTGAGTTACCATGGATGGTCTTGGTCGACATGATGACTCAGACACCCTGTTCATTCCATTCTAGGCCATGGGTCCTGATGTGGAGTTCTTCAGGCGACCATCCTGGTCCTATCTTGGCATTAAAATCACCGACAATGATCTTGTAGAAGGTGTGTCTTCTTTATAGAACTTCTCCAGCTCCATGTAGAACTTCTCAATTTCTTCTTCATCGTAGTTGGATGTTGGTACATAGACGACAAAGATAGAAACTGCTGGCAGTGAGTCATATCTATTCAAGTGTAATCATCCGATTCGGGTTGTTAGGCATTCAAATGAATCAATGCTCCTGGCCAAGTTCCTGTTGACAAGGATACGGACACCACCAACACCTCTATCATCGCATGTTGCGAGGAACAGTTCTTTTCCAGTGTCAAAAATGGCATGATGTGATTGATCCCTTCTTGTCTCAGTCAGACCAACGATGTCGTACTTGATCTTCTGCACTTGCACCATCAGGTCCTCAATGGATGCTTCCAATGCCAGTGCACGTGCATTGAAAGTACAGACAGTCATTTTAATCCTTCGTTTTGGCAGCCTAGTTCGGCCCTGAGATTTTATCAACCTCTCCTTGCTCATCCTTCTTAACGCTGCCATATTGGGAGCTCTTTCAGTGTCAGGGGAATGTTTTTACTGTTTTTGGTATGTCGAATATCCCACAGGTAGCTTTCTAGGCTCTGCCATGCGGGCGGGATACTCTCCAAGAGGAATGGAGGCTTTTAGGGTGGCCTCCAATCGCCTTTCCAGGTGTTCTCATGGTTCACACCATATTTGAAATCAAATACAGCATCAAATATGGTGCTACAATCACAGAATATGGATATTAAGTGTCTGCCTTTGATTAAGTTTTGTAAACGGCATTAGGTAAGGGTTATATTTTGAGGGGGGAATAAGTGGACATCTAAACATTCAAAAACATCTGTTTTTGTTCCCTGAACTAACAAATGGAAGAAATATGTTCCTGGAAGCTGATTAGAATTTCGTTGTCTTTCCATTGAAAGTATATTGAAAGTTATTTTTAGGTATTATAAATCAATTACTGTAGGCATTAACACTTCTACTGTGTTATAAACTCAGTATAGGAACCTAATAATTATACTAATTTTAAAAGAAAACTTTTTCAAAAACCAAACAATATCATTATGTTTTTAAATTAAGATTGAATTACATTTGAATTACTATTCTTTCTAAATTAAAGTTTATTGACTTCAATTGTGGTATAGTAACTCTGACTAGAGCTTTCATTTTCCTCAAATCTGGAATGGGAATGAAGACGCATATATTCCCATTGTAGTCTGGAGTTGTAAATTGAGCGCCTGTGTGGCCTGAGTATGTATTTAAAACACATAGCAAATCTTCTACTTTCAGCCATAATGAAATTAATGTAGGTTGGGCATAACATTTGCCTTAAGCAGCCCCCCCTCAATAAAATATATGACATAAAGATTTTCAGTCATTGGATAAAAATATCACAGGAGAGGGATTTCTGAGAGAACAGAAACAAAAATGACAGCCCTGTGATTTTCCAAGCTTGATTTATGGCAGTTAGTTTCTAATTACAGTTTGGGGAGAGAGAACTCTAATACCCCGCAATTGTACTATGTTGAACCATTGATATAAGCCAATTCTAAAATAGATACAGAAATGTAAAATACCAAAGTATCAAAAAGAGTTTGATAAAGACAGTGTTGTAGGATTTATACACTACCTAATTTGGAACTCTTTTTTTGGTATAAGGCCAAAATAATAAAAATTAGAATGAGGGATGACATACTAAACTATGAAATGTGTACTCGACCACAGAAACAAATCTCTTTTTATTCAACTATATTATAGAAGTATCACTTTAGTTAATATAGATTAACCTAAATATCAAAATAAATGTACTTACTCATCCAACTCTTCTTCAGTTTTAGAAGTATCAGCATAGAGATACTTGCTCATATCCACGGGTCTTATGTTTTTCCTTTTTGTTGATTGGGGAGGAGAATCCTTTAGCATTACAAAGGTATCCGGTTCATCAAATGGGTTCAAATACTGTGGAGTCTGTACCTCTTTATAGGGACTGTAACTGTTGTAAAAGGATTCTTCTGCTTTTTTAGGTGAAGCAGCTTCAGTGATTGGTTCTATAAAACAAAAGCAAAAGATGAATTATACAAAACTAATATATAATATCAACTTATTTGTACAGTACTTTCAAAAAAAGAACTCTTAAATTAATATTGCCTCTGAATGAAAAGCAATAATGTGTTTTAAAGTTCAGAGATACATAACAGCTAAAACTTTTGTCTACTTCTTCAATAATTGTACTCTCTAAAATAGAAATTTCTGTATTGTTAATACCTTTGGAATTTCTAATAGTAGGCTAAGTTTAGAAGTACTACCTTGGCAAAGGGATATACATGGTAACCATCCAATATGTTTGGAGAGAGAGAGAGCGAGAGCGAGAGAGAGTGAGAGAGAGAGCGAGAGCGAGAGAGAGAGAGAGAGAGAGAGAGAGAGAGCGCTTGGCACAGCATCAAGTGGGCCAGGGGGAAGGGAAACTGGGGACACAGATGGTGGGAGATGTACACTGATGAAGGGATGAGTGTATCTTAGAAGATTCCTTTGAGGTCTAGGTCTTGGTGCGCTCTGCCTATATTTCCCTCCATGTACTTTACAGATTCAGGTCTGATCTCAAGGTCTTTGATTCATACTGAGTATACTTTTGTTTAAGGTGTGAGATATGGATCCAGATTTAATTTCATGCATGTGGTCATCCAATTCTCCCACCTCTTTATTCCATTTCATGCTCTCAGCAGTTTTGTCAAAAATTAGCTAGATTTGTCCTTGGATATTCTATTCAAACCTAATGATCAGAGTCTTTCTTTATTCCAATAACACGGTGCTTTGATTATTATGGCTTTATAATATAGATTCAAGTTAGGTAGTGATATGCCTCTCAGTTTTTTATTTTTTAGTAGGTTTTGACTATGTGGGGTCGTTTTTGGTCCCACAAAAAAACTTTATAATTGACTGTTGTCTGAATTTTGATAGGAATTTCATTGAATCTATATAGTAGTTTAGGTAAGATGGTCATTCTGACGAATATTTTTCTTTCAACCCTGGGCATGGAATGTTTTTCCATTTCCCAAAATCTTCATTTTCTTTCTTGAGTGTTTTGAAGTTTTCATGGTATAGGTCCCTCATCTTTTTTGTTTAACTTAATTCTTAGATACTTGATGTTTTTGGACACTTTTTCAAATGGGACAGACTCTTTGATCTCTTTCTCCTCTGATTCACTATTTGTATATAGGAATACGACTGGCTTTTGTGTGCTGACTTTGTAGTTAGCCACTTTGCTATATTCGTTTATTGTTTCTAGGAGCTTTTGTGTGGACTCCTTAGGGAGATGTTAGATTTAAATTTATTTTTAATAAAATAACTCAAGCCCTATCAAAACTCCAATAAAAATAATGAATAATGAGAATATTCAGGTCAAACACATTAGATTAGGGGCGGGAGAAAGAGCTCAACAGGTTGAATTACATACTTAGCATGTGGGAGACTTGAATTCAATCCCTGGCACAACATGATTCCCAGAACACCACTAGGAGTAATCCCTGAGAATGGAACCAAGAGTAGCGACTAAGCATTGGTGGGTGTAGCTCAAAACATCCACCACAAAATACAAAATATTCCACTACATTAAAGTCATACTGAAAATCATAAAAGTCATTCAGGTATAATAAAATCTCCTAGATTTTATTTCACATTCTGCTTTGAAATTAAAGACATTTTAAAAAATTAAATCTCTGACTCCATAAAAACACTACAATAACATGTTCTCTAACCATAAATACAGAAATGCTTGATACCAGGCTTTTTTCTAGCTTTTATGTTTATGAATATTCCAGACAGAACTAGAATTTGTTAGAAAACTCCAACATTTGATCACTAAATCTGATGACAAGACAAATATTTTCAACTTGAGAAATATCATACTGGGGCTATGGTGTTTGCCTTGCGTGTTCCTGATTCAGCCTCGATCCCTGGCATTGCAACTGCCGCCCAGGGTGATCCCTCAAGCACTGTCAAGAGTGGTCACTGAACATGGAGAAAAGGATAAGCCCTGAGCACCAGTGCGTGAGGCTCCAACTCTCAAAATAAATAAATAAATATTTTCTGAAATTAGAAAAAAGTTTCAGGAAGTCAGTAACTTTATAGCACCTCTGTAAAAGAATTTGAATCATGAATGTAAGTGTTCTAGAAGAAAGTTACATAACTCCACATGGGGTACTAGCCTACAGTTTAAAAAGATCTAAAAGATAAAAATATGTTAATCATTTTTGCATTTACTTTGAGAAAACATTTTAGTTAAACAAAAATCTTACTCTTCTACAAGGATGCCCACTCTCTCCACTACTGTTCAATGTAGTACTGAAAGTACTTACAACAGCTATTAGGCAAGAAAAAGATATTAAGGCCATCCAGGTAAGGAAGGAAGAAATCAAGCTCTCACTATTCGCAGATGATATGATACTATACCTAAAGAATGCTAAAACCTCTACCAAGAAACTGCTAGAAACAATAGACTTGTATAGTAAAGTGGAAGGCTATAAAATAAATACCCAAAAATCCATGGCTTTCCTATACGCAAATAGTGAAAGAGAAGAAGATGACATGAAGAAAACAATCCCAGTCACAATTGTGACCCAGAAAATCAAGTACCTGGGAATCAGCTTAATTAAGAAAGTAAAGGACCTGTACAAAGAAAACTACAGAAAGCTACTTTAGGAAATAAAAGAGGACACAAGGAAATGGAAAAATATCCCTTGCTCATGGAAGGGGAGAATTAACATTGTCAAAATGGCAATATTTCCCAAAGCACTGTACAAATTCAATGCAATCCCTATAAGGATACCCATGACATTCGTCAAAGAAATGGAGCAAACACTCCAGAAATTTATATGGAACAATAAGCCCCCACGAATAGCTAAAGTAATTCTTGGGGGAAAAAATGAGAGGAATCAACCTCCCTAACTTCAAGCTCTACTACAAAGCAGTAATAATTAAAACAGCATGGTACTGGAACAAAGGAAGACCTGTAGACCAATGGAACAGGGTTGAATATACTAACATCTCCCCGCAAGCATTTGACCATCTAATCTTCGATAAAGGGTCAAGAAAAGTGAAATAGAGCAGGGAAAGCCTCTTTAAGAAATCGTGCTGGCAAAAGTGGACGGCTCTATGAAAAAATGTGGGCTCAGATCTCTGCCTAACGCCAGGCACAAAAGTAAGATCAAAATGGATTAATGACCTTAAAATCAGACCGGAATCCATAAAGTTTGTTGAAGACAAAGTTGGCAAAACCCTCCATGACATTGAAGCTAATGGTATCTTCAAAGACGTCACGCCACTGGCCAAGCAAGTGAAAACAGAGATAGACAAATGGGACTAACTTAAACTAAGAAGCTTCTGCACCTCAAAAGAAACAGTGACCAAAATACAAAGACAGTCTACAGAATGGGAAAGGATATCCGCCAAATACACATCCACAAGGGGTTGATATGAAGGATATACAAGGTACTGGTTGAACTCCACAAGAAGAAAACATCCAACCCCATCAAAAAATGGGGAGATGAAAGGAAACTTTCTCAAAGAAGAAATCCAAATGGCTAAAAGGCACATGAGAAAATGCTCCACATCACTAATCATCAGTGAGATGCAGATCAAAACAACAATGAGGTATCATTTCACACCACAGAGACTGGCCCACATTCAAAAGAACAAAAGCAACCAGTGCTGGCACGGATGTGGCAAGAAAGGGACCCTCCTTCACTGCTGGTGGGAATGCCAACTGGTCCAACCCTTTTGGAAAACAGTATGGACGATTCTCAAAAAATTAGAATTTGATCTCCCATTTGACCCAGCAATATCACTCCTGGGAATATATCCCAGAGAGGCAAAAAAGTATAGTCGAAGTGACATCTGCACTTGTTTGTTCATTGCAGCACTGTTTACAATAGCCAGAATCTGGAAAAAACCTGAGTGTCCGTGAACAGATGACTGATTAAAGAAACTTTGGTACATTTACACAATTGAGTACTATGTAGCTGTTAGAAAAGATGAAGTCATAAAATTTACATACAAGTGGTACTACATGGAAAGTATCATGTTAAGCAAAATGAGTCAGAAAGAGCGGGATAGACACAGAAAGATTGCATTTATCTGGGGAACATAAAGTAACAAAATGGGAGACTAACACCCAGGATTGGCCGAGATTTAGTACCAGAATTTTGCTACATGACTTGGAGGCCAGCCACACGTGCTAGGGGAAAAGGAAGCTCAGATATAGAAGGGAGCACCAAATAAAGGGTGTTGGGAGGATCCTCCCAGGATGGGAGAAGCATGCTGAAAGTAGACTATAGACCAAACATGATTGCCACTCAATGCCTCTCTTGCAAACCACAGGACTCTAAAGGAGAGAGAAAAGGGAATGCCCTGCCCAGAGGCAGGGTGGGATGGGGAGATTGGGGGGTGGGGGGGATGCTGGGACCCGTGGTGGTGGAGGATGGGGACTGGTGGAGGGACAGGTACTTGATCATTGTATAACTGAAACCCAAGCACAAAAATTTGTTAAGTTTAATAACTGTAACTCATGGTGTTTCACTAATAAAAAATAAAAAATAAATAAACAAATAAACAAAAATCTTACTCTTCAACAACTCTTTTCTGGTTAAAGCCTTAAAAGTTCCAAACTACCTGATGAAAAAAAAATAGAAGAAAAAAAATCCTCTAATTGTATGCCTTACAAGCATTTTATATGTATGGTTGCCGTGGTTCTTTATCTTTCTGTTCTATTCTGTGTTCATTCACAACTCACTTTCACTAAGACTGGACTTCCTGGCCAGAGATATAAAGTGAAGGTGCTCACTGCACTCTGAGGGTGAAGGCAGAGGCGTTCTATATCTAGAGCAACTGCCCTTAACTTCATTACCCCAGCATCACTAACTCCCGTAATCTGATTTTAGTGGGTCAAACTAATAGGCATCACAGTATGCCAGCTATGTAAAATGCTGTCTTCACTAAAATTAAAGCTCTACTGTCTTACTGAATAAACAGAGAAAATAAATAATCCCTAAATAATTTAAATGAGTGTTTTTTTCCTTAAAAGCCACTCAGAATTGCTAATCAACTATAAATGGTGCTAACCATATCATCAAAAAACACTTTTTTAATTAGCTTTTGGGGGATGCTTTTTAAAGGAGAGAGGGACCACACCAGCAGTGCTTTGCAGGAGGGAATGCTCAGCACAGCTTAGTTCTGGGGAGATGGAGGGGTTCAAGAATATGGCCTGGGCTTCAGCATGCAAAACATGTGTCCAGCCCTTTGAATGCTCCCTCTAGCCCTTAATGAGATGGTTTTGTTTTGTTGTTTTTTGTTTTTTGTTTTGTTTTGGGACTCCATGATGGTGCTCAGAACTTACTCCTGGTTCTGCACTCAGGGATCACTCCTTATGGAGGGATTCAGGAACCATCGGGGGTGCTGGTAAAAGAACTCAGGTTGGCTACATGCAAGGTAACAGCCTTACCCACTGTATACTCTCTCCAGCCTTGCTTCGTTTGTTTTTTTAAAAAATCCTTTCTCGGTTCTTAGAGCTTAAGAGAATTTGATTATGTAAGATTTTTGAAGTACAGAAAAAGCTTGTTACCTTCTGAGTCTGGATCTCCAAAGGGATTTAATTCTGCTACGTCAGGATCACCAAATGGATTTAAATTCACAGTGGCCAAGTCCTTTTCTGCTTCATCTAAAAAGTTAAGTTTGTTGATAAGTTCTGAAAATAAACATAAGTTCATAGTTAAGCACAATAATTGATCATTCAAAACACATTTCAAATTATATATAAAAATCACTAATACCTGCAAATAATAAGATAAAGTATTTTACCAATGGCAGAATGCCATTAAGTATTTTGTAGCACACCAACATTTTCAAATCTAACAAAACAAACACATGCACATTAATTTAAAAATTGTATCTGATAATGAGTTTAGGAAACTTTTATCTAAAATTAATTGGAGCCACTAAACAGCATTGGTATAGATTTTTTAAAAATAACATTTATATCTAGAATAATCCCAATGAGTTTAATATAAACATTTATTTATTCAATTACAATGTAAGTTCAAGAAGTACTGTCATGCTATGTGACCAATTATTATTTTATAAGATGTTTTAAAATCACTGCCTATCAAGGATCTTTACAGAAGATTTGCTAAAGGGGATGAATTCTGTTCTGTTGTTGCCTGTTGGTGCACTACAAATTACCAAAGAAAACATTCAAGAAGAAGCACAAGACAAAATTGACAGCTAAATACAGACAGAAGTCAAGAGGCAGCAGGTCACAGTAAATACAGGCAATCAGAAGCAGAAAGAAAGGAAGAAAGCTCTTAGACCTTCAGAAGAACTGGCTGATTTAGCTGAAGGCATATTTGCTTGCTTAATGCAGTCATCGTGATCTTCATCTAAGCTGCTCAGAGCATTCAATTGTTTTACAATTTCTGTAAACAGAAGTCAGTCAAGACAAATGTAAGGTCATTTAATTAAAGAGCTACAGGAGCATGCAGTTACTCAAAAAGATAAAGAGAGGGGATGTTTGGTTAATCAAGAGAATATATTCAGAGGATGTTATTTTGATTAACTTTAATAGATGTATTTAACTGAAAGTTATGCAGTATGTTTAACACAGAAAACATCTGATTACTAAAACTCATATTAGTAATTTAACTATTGTTAATAAACACAAAACAAGACAATAATCCAAGGGATAGACACTGGCTTTTGGTAGCCACATTTTGTATTGGTAAAATTCTGCTTTAAATGCATCCTTTGAAAACAAAAACAAAAAATCATGATACTATAGAAAATAGGTACTATTTGCTCTATAGTCTAAATTTCAATTAAAGATTTTAAGAATATTTACATGAATCATTAACACAAGTACTTGTTCATATTGTAGAATTTTAAAAACTACCATAAAATAAGAAAAGCAGGCAATAGCTACCAGTGTTTTATTCCTGTTTTCTAAGGAGTTTGTTCCTGTAAGAGAATTCTTGAGCATTTATTTACTTTAAGACATCTTATAGCTCAGTCAAAATAAGAGAAAACAGAAAAGACAGGGACAGAAAGGAAATTCTTAAAATAAGATAAATTCATTTTGGGCACAAATGTTTTTATACTTTAGACAACTGTTAATATGTAAAATGAAAGTTCATTAGGAAAAATTAGTTCAGAAAAAACATAAAAGCCTATAAGACCTGGACAAAACTGGACAAATCAAACAGCTTCAGATTGTTCAGTAGGAAAAAAAGAGGAAAATAAAATAGTTATAAAGTTGGTATTAGTGCTTTAAAAAAACATGGCAAAATATATATTCTACATTTGTATTAAATCACTGAGTATACAATTTTAATAAAGGAATCGAGGACAAGAGACGAGTTTCTCTCAGGTGACTGGATAGTAAGGAGCCTTTAGTACTGCAATGGAGGTTACTTAGGGTGGACATATCAAGTTATAAAAAGCTGTGAAACTTTTCATGAAAACAACTAACAATTGTATATGTGGGACTAGAGGCCAAAATACATAATCTTAATATGTATTATTTAAAAAGTATTTTTATTTCTTCTAAATTTCTTACACTGACCCCAAAATTTTCCTGACCAAAAATATTTATATCATACTTTATTACTTATTAAAGTCTATTTCATCAAAATTTAACATGGTTGGGAACTGCTGATAACTCTTAGTAAGAGCACAAATAAATTTCTACCCTAGTGCTACTCAAATTGAGAAATAAACCTGTAGGTAGAACATTCAGTTATCCTAACAGGATGTCAGTCTGGACTTACTTCACATTGGTAAAAAAAGAACGAAAACTAAATTAGGGGCAGGCAATCGAAGCAAAGGGTCAAGTAATTTGAGACTCTCCTTTACTGTCAGGGAGGCAAAAGAAGATAGAAATTGACCACCAGAGATTATCACATTGAACAACAGAAAAAAGAGGGGTGGGGGTAGAACCATGAGTAGGTAGCCTTTTCCTTTTAAGAAAGTTGTAGTTGAATTAAAAGAAAAAAATAATAAACTGTCTCAAGCTAGAATATAACTGCAAATCTTGCGGCATCCTCATTCTTTCCAAAGTTTACAGAATTCAGTACAGGCCTATCTCATTTTAAGATGATTTAAGATAGTAACATTTCAACTTCCTGGCAGAGATCAAGATCCATAAGATGTCCTTTCCTCACTGGGTCTTGCCCATAATTTTGATTTGTGGCTACAACTAACTGGTTTAATACCATGATTTTCAATTCCATAGTGGATCAGAATATGAGAAAAAGGAGTTGCTTCAGGCAGCTTATCATAAGAAAAACAGCATTCAGTAGTTGTGCATCAATGTGATGGCCACCTTTTATCTGTAACATCTGACATCACTTTGAGCACAGCTTGTAATTAATATATGTTGCAAATGAATTAATAAATGAATCAAATGAGTCATAATAGGTACCATCATGTTTATTAAGGCAGGAAGATGAATAAGACTTCCTTTTAAATTATAGAAACACTATATATTTTAAATCTGTATGCCCCTGTATATCAAGATATCTAAATATATATCTATAACATACTTAAATATAATTTCATGTATAGAAATGTAATTTAATACTATAGATATTATTTCTGATAATAAATCTTTAACATACTTAAACCCCAACTCCAAAATCTGGTCATTAAAAGGAACAAGTTACTATCCCTCACAGTTATATGGGTAGACTAGATTCCTGTGGGTGGCTGAGTTGAATTCACTTGAAAGTTGAACTGGGCTGGATGTCCAAAATGACTTCACATATACGGCTGAATGAAGCAGGGCTGGCCTGGTGTCTGTTTCTCTCCAAGTGGCCTGTCCACATGGCTACCTGGAGGGTTCTCTCAGCATAACCATCTCACTGGTTTGAATTTCACATAACAAATTTGTATGTCAAAACAAGATTTCACTAGTTCTATTTGGTAAAAGTGATATACAGGGCTGACTAAATACAGAAGAGTGAACTATAAATGGGCACAAAGGTTGTAAGGCATGTTTTATTAGGGGACAAGTTTTGAAGACTAATTACAAAATGGTATTATTTTATCCAATAAAGCTGCACTTAAACCAATTACCTTAATTTTTAACATGTTATTTTCTAACATTTTATTTATACACATATTGTGAATAGCAAAACTACTCTGTATATTTCAATATGTATTTGCTAACTTATACTGTCATGTGATCCAAGAAGCAAAATGTGTATACACTCATTTTCTAATGTTTCTCTTCAGTGCCCAAATCCACAATCACTATTCCAAAGTTTTTCATTGACCTGTATGTTTCAGAATGTCATATAAACGGATTCTTATGGTATATAACTCTTTCTGTCAATCCTCATTGATTCAGTCTAATGGAACATGCATATTGTTATTCATATCAATATATTTTTATTCCTGAATAGTATCCCATACTGCTTACTTAGTCTGTTGCTAGTTCCTTCCAGGTTGGGCTATTATAAGTCAAAATGCCATGAACATTTTTGTGTAATTTACTGGCACTTAAGTTGGTAACCAAAAACATCCACTATAACGTTGTTATATTTTATAAAATTCTGTTCATTTTGTTTGCTCAAGCTATTATTTGAAACATATAGTATTTTAATTTAAGCATATATTTTATTATTTTGAACCTACTTTTCCTACACATTTTTATACTAGTAGTATTGACATTAAACATATTTCTGAAAGTTAATTACTCAAAATGAAATTTTATTTTAAAATGTGTTTGGAAGTGTTTTAGACCAAGCCTGACAGTAATCAAGGGCTATTTAAGGCTCTGTGCTCAGAAGTGACACCTTGCTTTGCTTTGGGGATCATATGTGGTGGCAAAGATAAGAACTACATTGGGGGGGGTGCAAGGCAAGGATTATCTCTGGAATAAAATTTATACAAGTAAAAATTTAACAAAGGAAAACAAACAACCACCAAAATATACTCTGCTATTAATTTACAAGATTATACTATGTAAATATTATAGAAAATGCTGGTTAAAAAATGTAACAATTATAAATTTATCAACTTAGAAAAGGCATCTGGTCATTCACTTGGCCCTACATATTTAATTCTTCAATATTTAACTTTATTTACTTTTGGAAAACTAGTAATGAATTATTTAAAGTTTTATTCATGTTTCTTTTATAAAATGGAAACACTACATCCTAAAAAAGCTATTATATAAATATAAAAATGAAAGGAGTAAGAAATTAAGACAGAGTAATCTGGGATACAATAGGAAAAGAAAGCCCTACTCGTTAATTTCTCTCTTTTCAGATAGCATACATCAAATTATATTTTGTTGTTGCTGTTTTGTTTTGGGCCATACTCAGCAATGCTCAGAGGTTTCTTCTGGCTATGTTCTCAGGTATCAATCCTGGCAGTCTTCAGAGGATGATATAGGACGCTAGGAATCAAACCTGGGTAGGTCACATTCAGGCAAGCGCTTTACCCACTGTACTATCTCTCCAGCCCCGAAATAAATTAAATTTTTAATTCCAGAAAATGTGCTAGGATGAAAAATGAACTGAGAATTTCAAACATGACTGACATGTTCTCTACCACTTAAGTTATCTTACTGTCCAGTGTAACATTCTTAAAGAACTACAGCTAGAAGTGAAATGAGTCAGAAAGAGAGGGATAGACATGGAAAGACTGCATTCATCTGGGGAATATAAAGTAACAATATAGGAGACTAACATCCAAGAATAGTCGAGATAAGTTACAGGAGGTTCACTCCATGGCTTAAAAGCCAGCCGCACATGCAAGGGAAAGGGCAGCTTAGACAGAGAAGGGAACAACAAGTAAAAGGTGTTGGGAGGATCCTCCCAGGATGGGAGATGCATGCTAAAAGTAGACCATAGACTGAACATGATTGCCATTCAATGCCTCTTTTGCATACCTCAGCAACCAAAAGGAGAGAGAGAACAAAAGGGAATACCCTGCCACAGATTCAGGATGGGATGGGGGGGGGGGGTGGGAGGGGTGGGATGGTTACTAGGATTACTGGTGGTGGAGAATGGGCACTGGTGGAGGGATGGGTACTCAATCATCATATAACTGAAACCCAAGTCCAAAAACTTGTAAGGTCAACAACTGTACCTCATGGTGTTTAACTAATTAAAAAAATAAAAGAAAAAATTATATCACTGGTAAAAAAAACCTGTGGGTAAAAAACTTATGCAGAAATTACACATTTTAAGTGGAAGTACTTGCAATAGCAATTAGGCAAGAAAAAGATATTAAGGGCATCCAGATAAGAAAGGAAGAAATCAAGCTCTCACTATTCACAGATGATATACTATACTTAGAGAACCCTAAAACCTCTACCAAGAAATTCCTAGAAACAATAGACTTGTATAGTAAAGTTGCAGGCTATAAAATCAATACCAAAAAGTCCATGGCTTTACTATACGCAAATAGTGAGAGATAAGAAAGTGACATGAAAAAAACAATCCCATTCACAATTTTGCCCCAGAAAATCAACTACCTAGGAATTAGCTTAACTAAGGAAGTAAAGAACCTGTACAAAGAAAACTACAAAACACTACTTTAGGAAATAAAAGAGGACACGAGAAAATGGAAAGATATCCCCTGCTCATGGATTGGGAGAATTAACATTGTCAAAATGTCAATACTTCCCAAAGCATTGTTCAAGTTCAATGCAATCCCTATAACGATATCCATGACATTCTTCAAAGAAATGGAGGAAACACTCCTGAAATTCATATGGAACAACAGGCCCCCACGAATAGCTAAAGCAATTCTTGGGAAAAAGAAAATCTGAGGAATCAACCTCCCTTAAACTTCAAACTCTACTAAAAAGCAGTAATAATTAAAACAGCATGGTACTGGAACAAAGGCAGAGATGTAGACCAATGAAACAGGGTTGATTATACTGACATCTCCCCCCAAACATATAATCATCTAATTTTTGATAAAGGAGCAAGAAATGTGAAGTGGAGCAAGGAAAGCCTCTTCTATAAATTGTGCTGGCAAAACAGGACAGCCACATGCAAAAAAGTGGGCTTAGATCTCTGCCTAACACCATGTACAAAAGTAAGATCAAAACAAATTAAAGACCTCAACATCAGACTGGAATCCATAAGGTACATTGAAGACAAAGTTGGCAAAACCCTTCATGACACTGAACCTAATGGTATCTTCAAAGATGTCACGTCACTGGCCAAGCAAGTGAAAACAGAGATAGACAAATGGGACTAACTTAAACTAAGAAGCTTCTGCACCTCAAAAGAAACAGTGACCAAAATACAAAGACAGTCTACAGAATGGGAAAGGGTATTCGCCAAATACACATCCGACAAGGGGTTGATATCAAGGATATACAAAGTACTGGTTGAACTCCACAAGAAGAAAACATCCAACCTTATTAAAAAATGGGGAGATGAAATGAAAGGAAACTTTCTCAAAGAAGAAATCCAAATAGCTAAAAGGCACATGAGAAAATGCTCTACATCATTAATCATCAGGGAGATGCAGATCAAAACAACAATGAGATATCATTTCACACCACAGAGACTGGCCCACACCCAAAAGAACAAAAGAAACCGGTGTTGCCGCAGAAGTTCGAAAAAGGAACTGTCTTTCATTGCTGGTGGGAATGCTGAATGGTTCGGCCATTCGGTACATCTACACAATGGAGTACTATGTAGCTTTTAGAAAAGATGAAGTCATGAAATTGACATACAAGTGCTACTATATGGAAAGTATCATGCTAAGCGAAATGAGTCAGAAAGAAAGGGACATAGAAAGATTGCATTCATCTGGGGAACAAAAAGTAACAAAATAGGAGACTAACACCCAAGAACAGCAGAGATAAGTACCAGGAGGTTTACTCCATGGCTTGGAGGCCAGCCTCAAACACTAGGGGAAAAGGCAGCTCAGATAGAGAAGGGAACATTAAATGAAGGGCGTTGGGAGGATCCTCCCAAGATGGGAGATGTATGCTTAAAGTAGACTATAGACGAAACATGATTGCAACTCAATGCCTCTTTTGCAAACCACAGCACCCAAAAGGAGAGCAAAAACAAAAGGGAATGCCCTGCCACAGAGGCAGGGTGGGAAGGGGAGATGGGGAGTTGGGAGGGATACTGGGATCAGTGGTTATGGAGAATGGGCACTGGTAGAGGGATGGGTACTCGATCATTGTATAACTGAAACCCAAGCACAAAAATTTGTAAGTCTACAACTGTTCCTCATGGTGTTTCACTAATAAAGGTAAGGTAAAGGCCCTCCAGTTGATCGTCGATTTGCTCGAGCGGGCCCAGTAACGTCTCCATTGGAGACTTTGTTGTTACTGTGTCTGGCATATCGAATACGTCACAGGGAGCTTGCCAGGCTCTGCTGTGCGGGCGAGATACTCTCGGTAGCTTGCCGGGCTCTCCGAGAGGGGCGGAGGAATTGAACTCGAGTCGGCCATGTTGGCCGCTTGTAAGGCGAACGCCCTACCGCTGTGCTATCGCTCCACTAATAAAAATTTTTAAAAAAATTACACATTTTAAAATATTCAAGAGTTCAAAAATACAATTTCCCTTTAAATTTTAAATTATATTTTTACTGTTAAAATGAATTGGTAGCTACTTGATTATACATCCATGAATTGTATTATTATGGATCAGACACAATTTCTGAACGCCTCAAAACAAATAAAAATTTCTGGAAAAAATAAAAGAACTCCAGCTAGTCAAAAAGCCAGTAAACTCAGAAAAAGGAAAGGCATGACATTTTAAAAAGAATTATGTTGTTGTTGTTGCTGACATCAAATTTAGTGTCAGCATCTATTATTGGGAAGTGAACCCCAAATTGCTGTTGAACTAAAAATAACAGTCAGAGGGAGTAAAACAAGGAGACCCATTAAAGAAACCAGAGGATCATAGCAGATCTCTCATGAACTGAGTCAGTACATTATTTTTAAAGTTAGAGGCAAATGTAGGTGTACTAATTTGTTCAACTGGCTATTTCAAAGGGCATATTCTACAATTAAAGGAGAATAAGTAACTTCTAAATTACTTTATTAAGATTGTTAATATAAAAAAATTGAAAGTGACAAAAGATAGTGCTTGGCTAAAAAATAAAATAAAGTTGTATTCTGTAGAAATAAATAATATACATGTAAATTAATGTATAAATAAGAATAAAATTAAGTACATGAATTATCAAGAAATATGGGACTGGAGCACTAGTACAGTGGGTAGGGCATTTGCCTTGCATGTGGCCAACCTAGGTTTGATCCCAGAAGGCACTTCATATGACCCCCAAGGTCTCTACCAGAGATCCCTGAGTGCAGAGCCAGGGGTAATCGATAAGCCTCAATACGAATGGTCCTAAAACAAACAAACAAACCAAAAAATAAAACTATTAAAAAGTAAAGCTTATAAGGTTAGAGAAATCAAATCCTATTTATTACAAGTGCATAATACAGTAATCAGTAACCAAAAGCATGGGGATACAGAGAGAATACAGGTTACAAATACTAATATCTGGCAGGATTTCAAAGCAATAAGTATTAAAGGGGGGCAAAACATGTAAATTATAATTCACAATTATGACAAAAGTATTTATTTACTAAATAATTCAGCACTGAGATCTTTCATATATGAACTATACAAAAACAAGTATGAAATAAGTTCTAAGCTTGATTCAATAGCTATATATTGAGTCCAACAAGCATATAAAAGGATATTTATAAAAAATTTACAAAAATAGTTCATCTAGAATACAAAAAAATCTTCAATCATATTTTTTAAAAATTAAAATTTGGAATACTTCAGCATCTAATTTGAAGGAAATCAAACTGAAGTAAACAAGCTAAAAAAATTTTTTAAAGTCAATGATGAAAAAATATTTTCAAAGACCTATGGGTTAAAAAAGAGATCAAAATAGCTACATAAATTAGAAAAAACTAATTTATAAGGTGCACACAGGAAATCATTTATTTGCATACAAGGCTAGCAGTTCCTGCAAATATATTTTAGAAGTGGTGCAAAAGTGAAGGTTCAGAGTTGAGGAAGTTTTTGACCAATGGAAATCACTTGTGTAACAGAAAGCACAAAAAGTTGAAGCAGGACCAAGAGATCAATTTTAAGGAACCTAGATTTTGGAAGAATCCCCAAGAGATACGTATTAAAAATTCAAGGACTATAAATCCAGAAATTTAGAACAATTATTATTAGTTAAAAGGAACATATAGTGTTTGACCTTCACTCCGAAGGTAAAGAAAGGTGTTGTGACATCAAATCCTTAAGTGTGATAGCCTGACTATTGATATTTATTGATGAATTGATACAAACCACTATCTTACTAGTTTAGCAAAGCCTACTATTTGGAATATATGCAAATTCATTTCTATGTACACGGAATACATGGAATTCTCCTGCATTTTAAAAAAGAGAATGCCTACACAATTTATCTGAATAAACACATACAAGTCAGATAAGGTAGGCCATACATCTTCCTTTTTACATCTGTAAAGCAGATCTCATACAGCATTCATTCTTACACTGACAAAAGAATGAATCTTGCTCCATTATACTATAATCAATACTTCCAGGGAAATCTAATCTTTCTTGATTAATCTTGGACTTTAACAGTTAAAATCTGTTACTGTCATCAGCAAAGTTTTTAGAGAGTTCAACAGTGTTTTATATTCAAAAGGCTTAATAAAAGGGGGGAAAAAACCTCATTAGTGGAAGTACTTTTTCTGAGAATAAGTTTTTCAATTCTGCCTAAAAAGATGAACTTTCATTCTACCTTTATGTCAATAAAACCAACCTGTAATTTTTGCTGCCTTTTCTTCTTGGTTCACTCGGGTCTCATCGTCTTCTTCATTATCTTCTTCAAAGTCATCTAAATTCCCAATATCTGCTTGCTTCATACTCATCAAACTAGCCAAACTTTGCATATCTTCATCCCTATATCAATGATTTAAAAAACAGTACATAATTCACTAGGTGGCATAGTTTGAAAAGGACTGCTTCATAAGAAAATTATAGGAGATCTTCTAAACAGATATACTAGATTTTAAAATTTATACATTCATTATCATAAATTCTTAAATGATATGTTTAGTAAACGTAAACAAGATTTAGAATTAACTGGTGAAGAGTTGAATTCTGTGTGTAAGGAAGAGTAAATTTTTGTAATAGGATTAAAGTGTGGATTTGTAACCATAAAGTCTGGACACAAAAACTTGTCTCATAGAAATAGTGGAACAGTTTGAAAATCCGATGAGATCTAAACTTTAAAAGACAATTATTTTGAGGGGACAGGGGTTCGAATAAACTAGGCTGTGCTCAGGGCTTATTTCAGGCAGCGCCAAGGAGGAAGCCATAGGCAATTCTGGGGATAAAACCTAGAAGGCTACATACCAGATAAGAGCCTTCCTCACTGTAATTTCGCACCAGTCTCAATATTCAAACTTTTAAAAGGAATTAGAGTAGAAAAAAATTTTAATTAAAATGCTTTATTTAAACGCTATGATACACAAAGCTGTAACAGTACAGTTGTAATAGGCTTTCAATGTTCCAACACCAATCCCAGCATCAAGTGACCATCCCTCCACCAATATCCCTGGTTTTCCGCCTTCCCACTCCCTTCACCCCCCCACTCCCCACCTAGTCTGTTCCCTCAGCAGACACACAATAATTTATTTTGTACTGTTTGTTACAAGTAAATGAATGGAAATTCTTATCTGAAATCTATGAACTATTTGAGGCTTGTGGGTAGGAAGAAAAGAGTGGTTAGTCTCTGTAAATTTTATTTAAATCTTATTTAAATGTACATTTTTCTAAAGGAGCTACTAAGGAGCTAGTTTTATCTCAAAGTTAAATAGTCAGCAGAGCAGAAAAATCACTTCAAAACAAAGTCTAGCAACTTTAAAATTATGAAATGAAAATTACCTGTGTTGATTTATAAGTTAGAAAGCATATACTTGACTAAAATGAGATAATTTATTTAATACGTTTATAAGCTCAAATCATCTGTTTCTTTGTTCTGTTGTTTTCACCTTAAATTTCAAATAAATTTAAAATCTTATCTCAAACTTGATAGACAAATTAAATTTTAAACTGATACACCGACCCCAAATTAAAAAAGTTAAAGCTAAAAGCATTGTTTCTCATGCTGTTACTGCGATAAAATACATTTTTTAAAAAGTTTTTTAAAAAATAATACTTAATATTTTATCTCATAAAATTTAAGTGATTTAATCTCTGATAATTTAACAAAATCATTTCCCCTTTCAAAATAAATTTAGTGACATAAAATCTGCATGAACAAAAATGTCCCATTATTTTTTTTTTTTTTGAATTTTCTTTTTTTTTTTTTTCTTTTTCTTTTTTATTAGTGAAACGACATGAGGTACAGTTGTAGATTTACAAATTTTTGTGCTTGGATCTCGGTCATACCCCGATCAAATACCCATCCCTCCACCAGTGCCCATTTAAATGTCCCATTATTGAATGCCTTACAAATGTTCACCTTTTGCTGTGCAATCATCTCAATATAAAACAATATTCTTAAAATGTGAACTTGATTAAGTTTACTGTTTTAAATCTCATATTTTCATCCTCAATAATTTTCTTTCAACTAGGGAAGATGAAAAGGAAAGAGGGAATGAGAGGGAATTCGGGCACAGTGAGAAAATTCTCCACTTTGGTGGGACCATTTGGTTTGACTGAGTTTCCTCTCACCCAGATCCCTGTGAACTTACTGCTTCTGTCCAATCGAAGAGATTCCACCTTCAAAAACTTTTCTCTGATTGTTTTTTCATTTCTTCCTTTTCTTTCAGCTTGAACTTCAGGATAGGTATGGTCTTTACTTTTATTTTCTCAGTCATCTACTTTACATTTTAAGTTCTTGAGCTAAAATACTCACTTCCAGTCTGCACTGCTTCCCTACCACACTCACTCAGATGTCAACTTCCCAAAGAGACTTACTGTTATCTACCAAGCCATTTGTTGCTCGGAGATGAGTGACAAACATCTCATTCTGACTGACGCACAGAATCCAGTCTAATCAGTCAAGCAGACATGGCCAATTATAGTAACCACATTCCACATTCATAACCATAGGATTGAAATGTTTATAGCTGGCTTCTTCCCCTCACCTTTTAAGTCTAGGCACACAATTTCTCTTTCTCCTCTGCCTGACCTTCCACTCCAAGTAGATACTAACCCTTTTACTACCCACATAACATGTACTTACCCTTGACTTGACTATATATGACTTTCAGGGTAAGTACTACTTTTCCCACCCTGTTTTAGGTATGTTCACCTCATTTTATTCTATTAGGATTTTTCTTTTTCTTTTTTATGGTTTTACAATTTATTTCATTATTTTTAAATCTGATATATATTTTTTACTTTTTTATTGAATCGATAACTGTGAGATAGACCCTTACAAAACTGTATATGATAGAATTTTACTTTTTTCTCAGGGGTTTTTGTTGGGAGAGGGTTGGGGCCATACCCCAACTTACTTAATCCTGGCTCTGAACTAAAGAGTCACTCCCAGTGTTGCTTGAGGAACTTAGAGGCAGTGTCAGGGATCAAATCAGAGTTCACTCTGTGCAAGGCTAATGCCTTAGCCCACTACTATCTCTCAAAGCCATAAATTTACTTTTAACAAACTTTTTAACCATATTCCGAAATTATCCTTGTGCAATTCCTATCCCGTTATTAAGAAAATTTCTGAGAAGAATGATTACAGCAAACTGGCTATCTAAATGGTATCTTCCTATGCAATTTTTGAAGACTGAGTCAAAGAACATGAACTGGCAAAAGTTCCTCTAGTTATTTCATCCTCTGTGACTTTCCATTTTCAGGTTTCCTCTCATGTCTCTGCATCAAACTTTAGGAATTGAACTGTTTATACTTCAAAGTACAACAACTTACAATGAAGTTGATAAAAACTATATATATGGTGCCCTATAATATACAACTTAAAACCTGAAAACTGCAGGGACTATTACTGTTAGTTTTCTAGAGTCAAAAGAAGATAAATAACAAACAGTTCATTTGATTCAGACTCTGCAACAAGAATGGAAACAATGACTGGCATATAAATATGATGTTCTTAACTGCTGCAGTCTAGTGAGTGAAAGCTGTTTTCCTGCAGTGGTTTTATTTTTTTTATTTTTTTTTTAAATTTTTATTAGTGAGACACCATGAGGTACAGTTGTAGACTTACAAATTTTTGTGCTTGGGTTTCAATTATACAATGATCAAAAACCACTGCTGTAGTTTTATTTTTTTTAATTTATTTTATTGAATCACCATGAAAAAAGTTACAAAGCTTTCAGGTTTAAGTCTCGGTCATACAATGATCAAACACCCATCCCTTCACCAGTAATTATTTTTCACCACCAAGAACCCCAATATACCCCTCCTCCTACACCTCCTGATACCTGTGAGGCAGATGATTTCTACTTAACTCTCTCTCTACTTTGATTACATTCATTATTTCAACAAAAGATGCACCATTATTGATTGGAATTTCCCTCCAACAATCAGAACTGCTGAAAAGGCATTGTGAAATAATTTGTTTTCTATTGCTGGTTATGAAAACCATATGAAGTTGTGTGGCTGTTTTGGATTTCTGATATTTTACTAATTAAGTCTGAAGGGATTTCTTCCAAGAGCCGGATAATTACAAGATTGGTTTATGTGCCTCTGGTGCCATGGCCATGACGAAGAGCCGCTCGTGGGGGGCAACTCGCAGCCTCGGTAGGGTGTGAAGGATGTGCTGGTTCCACCCCCTCCCCCCATTCCATGAGACCCTGCAATGATTTTAAAAAACAGATTCTGAAGTAACTTATTTGACAAAAGAAACTTACGTGGCTTTTCCTTCCCTGAGGAAAATGCAAGATAATGAAAATTGGAGAGTGGCAGACACAACTTTTTTAGATAATGGCTTGAACTTTAACTTGACATCAGTCTGAGTTGGCATAGGGCTTGCATACTGTTTCATGTTGATGCTGCTAGTAGCAAGAGCTTTCCTTCGACCAGAAGGGGATTCCTAGAAGACAAAAACGTAATTTGAAGTTGTTTATAGTAAAATATTATAAAACATGATTTTAATAATATGGTTAAACAGCAATTAAGAGCTTATGTTTCCAAACCTGAGTACCCAAGAACAGATGACTGGATAAAGAAACTATGCTACATCTACCCAATGGAATACTATGCAGCTATTAGAAAGAATGAAGTCATGAAATTTGCTTACAAACAGATTGACAAGGAGAGTATCATGTTGAGTGAAACAAGTCAGAAGGAGAGGGACAGGTAGAAAATCACTGCATTCATTTGTGGAATATATCATCTATCTATATTATATCTATAGATAGATAGATATTCCAGGAGACAGGGGCCAGGAGGACAGGTTAATGAAGCTTGCTTCAAGAGTGTGTGTGTGTGTGGGGGAAGGGTACAGGTAAAGAGATATAGATATAACTGATAACCTTTCATTATCTGTATTGCAAACCACAAGACCCAAAAGAAAAGGGGGGGTGGAGAAAGAGAGAGAGAGAGAGAGAGAGAGAGAGAGAGAGAGAGAGAGAGAGAGAAAGACTGAGAGAGAGAGCGCCTGTCATAGTGGGAGGCGGTGGGATGGGGTGGAGGGTGGGAGGGGCAGGTGGGAGGGAAATTGGGACCAATGGTGGTGGGAAAAGTGTGACTGAATCACTGTGATCCAATTAAAAAATAAATGAACGGGGGAAATAAAAAACTTGTTTCCAATGAGTTCCTGTATCACAGGTTTCCTATCCTTAAGTAAGCAGTTATAAAATTGGACTATACTGCCCAGGCAAAACTAAGGGAAGATTAGAACAATTCTAAATATCTCAAGAAATGAAAGTCAGAAAAACACAAACTAGGACAGAAGGTCTCTTGAGTTCCTATAAAACAGAGGATAAGACACAGGACTACGTATCAACATACACTCAATAATTTCTGTCCTTTAATTTAATGTAACTGCATTTCTGTAATATAAATCAACTTTTGGAATGTCTAGTTTTTAATAGAATCCCAGTTTATGTGGATTCATATTTCACTTTGTCTATATTATCTGAAAACAAGCTATCCTGTAATTAATTTTAGCCTTATTGCTTTCCAGGACTTTTTCTGATCATTCTAGTCAGCAGTTTTCACTCCCTTCCCTAAGCTTACATATATTAAAGAAGAAACAAGTCAGTTTCTCATGTGTGTGTGTAACTGACCCATGTGTGTGTGTAACTGACCCAGCAGATCCCCAAATTCTCTAAGCAACTATTTCCAAGTTGTTGCTAATGAAAGACCAAATGACATCTACTTAATATCAAATGTGTTTAACATTTTATTAATAATCTATCTCATTTCCAAAACTATTCTTTCAACATAGTAGTCTAGGAGAATAATGAAAACAGGATTTAATTATGATATATGTATAAAACCAGTGTCAATTCTTGGGAGATGTGATGATGTGTAAGATATTATGTGTTCTAAAGGCAAGGGGGAAATTTAAACCAGGAGTTATAAACCATCATTCCTCAATGTTTACAGTTTTAATTTGAACAAAAACTGACGATCTTATTTCCAAGCTTTGTGACCTTGAGTATAGTAGTAAATTTGAACCTCGGTAACTGTTTTTATAACATAAGGAGACTAAAGAGAAATCTCTTCAAGTTCAACAAGTTTTCTATAAAATTAATTATTCAATTGAAACAAAAAATTACCATTAACATTTGAGGTAATAATAACTCTATTTCTCCTATAATTGATTTGCCTGCCTAACTAAAAATATACTAATTTAATCAAAACATTAAAGCAGCATTTTAAAAGATTGACATTTCTGCCAAAAGAACAAGTGAAATGTGATGTAGCATCCCTAAAGAACACCTTTTTTAAAAATGTGGTCTTATCTGTCAGATTATGCATGGCAATATTATACAGAACTATTAGTGCATGTAGATACCTTATGAATGAATTTCAAAACGCATCAAACACTTGAGAAGGATTTAAGCCCTCTCAGAAGAAATACTTAAGAATATGCAAATACCTTTAACTGAATCAAGTTGAACAGATGTCACTATCCCAAACAATACAAATGTTCTTTCCCTGACCGCTACTGTCAATCAAAGAATAAGATTAAGGAATAAGGTTTTGAAAATGTGCAAAATAAAAAAAAAAGCATGATCCTGGAGTATCAATTTATTACACTGATATAAACCGTATTCTTATCGTACCTTTAGAATACAAAACCCTACATGTAAAATTTAAAATCTGTGTTTTAAAGCATGACATACCAAATGTCACATATTATTTTTATTATTTATTTATTGGTTTTGGGGCTACATTCAGCTGTGCTCAGGGCTTATTCCTGGAGCTACCTCAGGGGATCACTGTTGCAACCCATACAGAGTACCAGGAATTTAACCCAGGTCAACTGCATGCAAGGTAAGCACCTTAGTCACAGTACAACAATCTCGCCAGCCCTTAATTTTAAGTATTTATTTATTTATTTATTGGGTAACACCCGGCAATACTCAGGAGTTACTCCTGCATCTACGCTCAGGAATTATTCCTAGAGATGCCAGAGGACCATATGGGATGCTGGGGATTGAACCTGGCTCAGCAACATACAAGGTAAAAGTCTTACCTGTGATATTTTTTCTAACTCCGTATTTTTAGATTTTTATTATACAAATATCTCAAAGTGTAGTGTTGATTCCTTAATATGAATTTAATTATCACAATATTTATCTACAAAAATTAAGACACTTGGAAATGAACATAATTTTGAATGTTTGGTTTAAGGTTGGTCGCTGCATAGTTTAAATTTCTACTGATATTCAATGTTTAAAATTTTTTTTTTATTAAAAAGACAAATAAAATGTCTTCTGCTGAATTCAGGATGTTTTTAAAGTATTCAGTCAATAGATGTCTCTGAAACAGCAGGAAATAAAAGCAACTAAATTTAAAACACAATTAATAATTCCATTTAATTGAGGACTTATTCAGTAACAGTGAGCAGAACAGGGCTCTTCTGATCCATTAACATAGGATCTCGTGGAGGTCATGCCCATTCAATCAGCTTAATCAATGGCTCAATAAATAGCAATAATCCTACATTATTTAAAAAAATAACAACAAGAACAAAAAAATAGGACTCACTAGAATCTAGGTCTTTATTGGGAAAGTAATCTAAATACTATTTTTAGTAATCCTTCATCTAATTCAGAAGTTTTCCTCCTTCATTCATTCATTCATTCATCATCCTGTTAATCGTCGATTGCCTCGAGCAGGCCCCAGTAACGTCTCTTTCATCCTAGCCCTGAGATTATATTCACGGCTCTTTAGGAGAATGAGACCCATCATTGTTACTGGTATTTGGCATATTTGGTACGCCACAGGGAGTTTGCCAGACTCTGCCCTGTGGGCAGGCTACATTCGATAGCCTGCAAGTTTGTCCAAAGTAGGAATGAGATAATAAGATGTCAGATAAGATGTCTGCCGCATTTGCGGCCGCGCGGTTCCGGGATCTGGATTTTATAGTCTCTGAGTCTTGGCCGCTGATGGGATTACACGGCGCCAGGGGGCCAGGTGGTGGGTGTGACCCCCGCCTACTGGAATTTGGAGGATCTGGGTGGAAGATGCTCGACTCCTAGAATCTAGGTCTTTATTGGGAAAGCAATCTAAATACTATTTTTAGTAATCCTTCATCTAATTCAGAAGTTTTCCTCCTTAAAATTAGATAAATCTGAGCAAATACAATTTTAAAAGAACACTAACAAGAAAGTCATTAGGATCTTTCATAACTCTAAGTCCTGCTCCATAAGTTTTCATTTGATAAAAGTAAATTTACCTCAACAACCAAGATTGATATTACAATTAACTGCACTGTTTTATGAGTATGTCATTTGCACTCTATAGAATTCTTAAAAGGACCATGAGTCAATCATGCAGAAGGTGAAATTAGAGAGAATTATAGCTACTGTTCTCAGAGATTCTAATACTATTTTATATCATGTGCAAGCTAAAGGACAGAAATTTAAAAGTTCAGTACGAGAAACTCTTACAGAAACAAAATCAAATCAGAAAATTTAGTAAGAAATGTTTACAGGGTCTGGAGAGATGCCTTGCATGTGCCTGACCTGGTACTCCCCCACATGGTTCCACAAGCTGGCTAGAAGCGATCCGTGAGTGCAGAGCTAGGAATAAGCCCTTGAGCACCTCTGGGTATGGGGTAACAAAAAAATTGTAGTGATTGTTTACATATATGTAAGTCTAAGTTTTATTTCTAGGGTTAGGTTTACAAGTCTATTTATATACGAACTTGACAGTATTTAGAAAATGATTTCAAAACTTCTAAAGCAGTAGTTCTTAAAAAAATTATATGCCTAGATTCCATCCCTAGAAATCCTATAGAAGTTAAACTAGACATAAGCCAAGAACTGGGTGCAATTCTAAAGCTTTCAAGTACCTCCCTGTTCCCCTCACACTGTGCTCCTCCCTACCCCACCAGTTCATGTAAAATCACTTTCAAATTTTATGGTAACAACTGTCATTATTATGAAAGTTCTTGCCTATGAATCCCTATTTCTTTAGTCCAGTCATCTGTAGTCACACAGAATTAGACAAACATGAATAAGACTGTAAAACCAGCATCTACTCAAGAGTTAGTCTCTGATGTATTTATTCACCCTTTTTGAGTGTCATTTCATACTTCCACACTGGCAAATAATTTTAGACACTGGACATTACCAAGTGTTGGTAAATAAGAGTGCAGAGAGTTTAAATTGAGTCACTATAGCAAATAATTTGACTTGTAAAGCCGAACATATGAATACACTTCCTATCTATAACACAATCATTTACCTGGAACATATTTCTAGAATGAAAATAGATAATCATGGGATATGTTTATTTTTAACTTTACTCAAAAAAGTCCAATTACTTCCAAAATGGTTGTATTTCCTTAATAATGTTTCCATTATTCCAGGGCCAAAGCAATAGTACAGCAGGTGTTTGCCTTGCATGTGG